GCATCAAATCACGTGAGCATCTTGCTTAAAAATATGAAAGAATTTGCAAATCATCCGTCGACGCCCGGTTGGCGGTACATAACCAGCAGCCTAGTTCGGAAAGAATGGAAACTGGACTTTTACATTCAGTTAGCTCCCTTGCCTCGGGAAGTCTTGTAGGGAGTGTTTTGTCACTCAGAATCTTTATGCACAGATCTAAATATGAAAGAGATGAGGCCTCGCTGGTCTCCTTTATTTCTAGTTCGGATAGGTAAATCAGTGGAAGGGAATTGGCTATTTGATGGTTATTGAACGATATCAGATCATCGACATAAGCACAGTAAGAGGAATAGAGCCACTAGGCCTCATCGGAATATTTCGGGAATGTATCAGAAGGTTGAATCAATTGTTAAAGAGAATAAGGTCAAGTAACAGTCGGCATACTAGGTATCCTCACAGTATATTATTAATAACCTATGGTACACACTGATATATATTACTAATAAAACATTGTAATAAATAAATTAAACGGTATTTGTTACAAATAAAATAACATAAACGATCCCAGAAAGCAGAAAATATCGTTTAAGAGCATCAATATGTTTTTTAAATTTCCTGGGAGCAAGACCCAAACCCGCCTAGCGGGCCCACGTAAATTTAGTTTTGCTTACAGTTAAAATAAGCCAAGATGTGCCCCTGTATGTGACTGTTAGATAGTTGCGCTAAAATAACAAACAGGGCAGCCGATAGTTGCAAGGGATGAAGGCTACAAGTACTGTGACTGATGACCGTTACTTACAATGGTGATTACTAATAACAATATGTGAATGTCTACCTTTAGTGATAAGGCTCGGTGACTTGGTTGATGCATGTCATCGTTTCCCAATTGCACGGACCGATACTCATGATGTCAATCACTGGATTGTCTGGTCCAGGTTATTTACAGACCGCCGTCATATAGCTGGAATATTGCTGAGTGCGGCGTAAAACAGCAAACCAACCAACCTTTACCACCGTAACAGTCACATACGTAGGAGAACCATAAACAACTGTCTAACACAAGGATCACTCCAAGGAGAATAAGGCCATCTCCGACGCATCGTGACAACATATAACAGACATAGAATCAAACCTGTCATCAGAACCATCAACTCGACTATGCTAGATCCGGAACACTGAGACAGCACCATGTGCCTTCCGTACGGGGGTAAAGCTCACAAACAGTCTGAAACATCCAAAACACAGATCAGAAATCCATCAAGCACATTCAATATTCGCATCACTGAACACCAAGTACAAAAGATCGAGAAACTAAAGGAAGCTATTCGCGTACAAAGATTACATCTATCCATCAACGGAGGCCAGAGTTACTTCCCCCCAACCGCCAACCATGGCCCTTTAAGCTAGCATCACATTCGTAAACACCACTGTAGTCATAGTGTCCTGTTGGACACATCAACTCGAGAATATCGATTTAACTACAAGCTCCAAAGCTTGCAACTATAGAATTTACCGAACTAATTTCAAATTTGAACAATATCTTCTCTTATCACCAGAAATCTTTACTCCTATTATAAAATTCAGAACCCTAAATAATAATTTGCGGATTGAGACTGGCCGCTGGGAGGGCATCCCAAGCGAATATCGCACATGTAAGCTTGGCACCTCCGCCATAGCCGACGAGTTCCATTTCCTTTTTAGATGTGAATATTTTGACGAGCAAAGAAAAACTTTAATTGATAATAGATATCTAAACTTGTCAAACAACATTTCCTTTAAGCATTTGATGTCAAATATGAGAACTTGCAATCTTAAAAAAATATCCAAATTAATAAAAATAATACTCTCTGTACTAAAGTAAACCGCTGTTGCCATTTGATCACATTAATTTTTGTTTATATGTAAGTTATTATGTTGCTCATATACAACCGGCTGGTGGTTTGAGTTAATAAAGAAATTGAATTGAATTGAATTGAATTGAATTGAACTGAATTGAACTGCATCAACAGTTAATGATTCTACCAACTCAAAAAAATAAAGGGTCCCTAAATTTGTCCTGTAGAGATACCATACATTACCACAATGACCAAAAGCAAATCCTGGCAATATGCAGTCTTGCGCCAGTAATCGTTTGTGGGCTAGTAAACTGATATATCCTGATGGAACAAGCATGACTGTGTGCAGCTGGAGTACAAGGACTCACACTCACAGCCACTCAGGCCACAGGTGTATTGTTGGGTCGTTAGTGGTCTCCCATCTATAATACTATTCATACAGAACAGACACTGTGGTCATCCGACCCACATTCTTCTTACATTCTAATCTTACAACAAAGAATACGGCTCTATTCGGGGACCACTTGGAAAAGGCGACCTTTGTAGTACAACTAATGTAATCCTATGTTAAAGTGTAGGAGTAACACTAAATTTATTGATGAGATAATTCTGAGCTAGTGTGCCGTTAGCCACAACAAATTCATCTGGGGCACTTTGCTGAGGTCAGCTTACAACGAAAACTGATAATCTGGACAATGTTATCGTGGGTATTGATCCTATTCGATTTATTTGATAATTTATGCATAACTTAACATGGTAAAGATTAAAGTTATTAATAAATTCACATAAGCCACCATCGTAGTCTGTTGGCATATTTTCTCAGTGTAATGTAAAGACCCTTACACCTCATTGCACCTCTTCCGAGAGATAGAATCGAACACATACACCTTCAACTGAAAGGCCAGAACTCCAGGTACCAGTACCTCTGGCCACCAGGGGACAACACAAGGAGTGAGTGAGTGAGTGAGTGAGTGAGAGTGCGAGAGAGCGACATAATCAGGGAGAATCGGGATTCGAACCCACAACCACAGGTTTCTAGTGTGCCCATCGGACGCAACTCTGCACACCGAATTGGGGCGTCTTAGACGTCTGGCCTACCCGTGCCCCCTACAACAAGGAACATCTCCATGCTGAAAAGAATCCACGACACTTGCCCCAACCAGATGTCAGAAAAAGAAGCAGATCACTTCACACCCAGCTTTACAGAATACAATGCCTGTCCAGCAAACACGTAGTCCAACCTCAACCTCCTAAACACAAGTGTTTCAATAGAGGAATAAGTGAGTGTTCGTTTCATGTCACAGCTATATTCTGGTTATGCTACAGCCAACCAAGGATTGGTAACTGAGCTAGCGTTACCGGTTGGCTCTGATCCTGTCGTATTCGTTTCTCTATCTCATCCCAGATATGTTCTATGTAATGCTGCCTCGAAACGTCTGTTACAACACGTACAACACGCCATTCAAATTACTATTAACAATGTTGAGTTGTGTTCTCCCATCAATTGTGATGCCACCCCATACCATAACACTTCCACCCCCATAACTGACGACGTTGAGTCTCGCAAGCGTCGCTAAAACGTTCTCCTGGGTCCACGCCTGTAGACCCTTGCACAACCATCGGAGCTGTCCAGATGAAACATGTGAACAGTACCTTTAGTCTACTTGTCCTCTTGTCTTCTGAACCTCAGATGCCGTCTACACCAAGCTAGGCGTGGCTGGCGGTGACCTGGAAGCTAAATTAGGTGTATCATTGCCCTGCTGTAGATAACGTATCCATTGTGTTTCGATGAACATGAACATTAAAATGTCTGGCAACTTCGTTTTGCGCCATTTTTGTTTGCAGCACACTCACGGCGTTGATTTTCAGCAAGCCGTGACATTGCATGATCGTTATTTACGGTTTAAAAAAGTGTTTTATGAACACCTGATAGCTAAACAGTCATTATTTGCTGTTCACATTAGAAAAAAAACACTTGTATGCCCCCAACAAACACGCAAACATCCAAATTAACATGCACGTGCAAAATGTGAATCACGACCTTAAAATCAAGGAGATGTCTTCAATGAATATGTATTGGAAGATACATTATTTAATTTCATATGAGGTAAGCCCCTTTAACAATACACTTGTCATCTTTCAGATGGAGGTGATGCGATGCCTCGAACGGGTGATTGATCCCTAATATGAATAATATCATTGTGTGTCAGTCTTTGTTTCCTTTGATCAACGCAGCTGTCAATTATTATTAAAGGAAACCGGATTGCGCAGATCAATGTTCATGCTGTCAATCACAAGATTGTCTGGTCCAGACTCAGTTATTTTCAGAACGCGGTCACATATAGCTGAGGTACGGTGCTAAACAACAGTCAATCAACCGATCAATCAAAAGAGGTGAAGTTCCTTGCAATCAGTGGTTGGCGCCCATTATTGCCTCACTCCTGTGGCTCTCTTGCTCTCTGCGGTTTGAACGTGGCATATCGTTCATGTTGTTTCACTACCTGTGATGATTTGGCAACGGTCCTTTTCATTTTATACCATTTCTGCTCTTGCATTTTTACGGATACCTGAAACAGGATGTTAAGCGATTTTTGTCACTGCTTCACGTGCATCTCCCAAACCAACCCGTTGAAATGAAACAAACAAGACATGGTTATTCGATAGTGATGTACTAGTATTTGATACGGGTAAAATGGTTGTGTTTTGGACCAAAGACTGCAGTGTTTCAGCATTGTAATTTTTTGTGAATACTTCCTTTTGCACGTCGGTGTATTAATAATGATTAAATAGCAATAATATTTGAAACTGTCCAAAAAAAGATCTCCACATGACTACCAGGTAATTTAATAATAGATTTTAAAGGATCTACACACGCGGACAGCCATATTACTGGTGCGGCAAAGCTTGAAACAACATATATCTGGAAACTTCCCGTGAACGACAGTAATCTACTTGTACGGACAATACTTATCAAGGAAATAACCATACACGTAGATAACGCTGTGTCTTTCGTAAGAAGGATCCATTCGCAACATGACAACTTCGTGATTACGTAAGGACTCGTCATCGACCGTTTCACTTCTCACCGCTCTCTGATTGGTTACCTATTTCCGTAATGAAAGGGGATTTCCCGTTGAAAACAAACAGCACGTGACCCCGACCATCGTGTTTACGTCATCAGCGGAGTCGATTGCCTACGCATGCGGAGTTGGGATTACCAAGCCATCTAACGGTGGAGATTTGTTTAATCAGTTGGGTAATCCTGCCTCTTGATGGAGTAACTTGCGGTTTTCGTATGCAGTGGAGCATTTTGCAGGAAGAGGCGCGTGCAAGCGGGGACACTCTTGCCACGCCCACTATCCAGGGAAAGGGAATATTTGCAGTCTCACTCATCTCGTAAGTCAGTGCCTTGTGCGAAACGAGGTCAAAATGACTGTTACTTCGCTACGCTTAGGTGAATAAGAGTGCCATCGCGGAAAGGTCGAGTGACTCATGGACCAGACCCGGAAATACGTTCGATGTTGAAAGAAAGAATCCTAGAGGATTAATCGTACTGATCAAAGTTCGGAAGAAGATTTTATAATCCTCGAGCAGTGATCTCGATAAGGATAATGTCGAAAGATCGTTCCCCTCCAAAACCCGGGTATTACCACACGGAACTTGTAAATACCCTCTGGGAAGTCCCCAACAAATACAAGAAGCTGAACCCGATAGGTACAGGGGCCTATGGGCAAGTTTGGTAAGTGTATTTTCACTGTGTATTGTTTACAGATGAACAGACCTTGACCATGAGATTCAAGGACGGTACAAAATAAGATGAAAACTTTTCAAATGAGACATGGTAGATCTGTATCTATGCAATGGGACGGTCTTTAGTAATATATATGTTTCATATTGTTATTCATATTATTTCATCGACAGATGAAGTAAACTTAGAAAAGACACAAAAGTTGTTTGAAGATACAGTAACAACTTTGGCTTTGTTATGAAATAGTCTTACACACCACACACACACACACACACACACACACACACACACCAATTCCTTTCAGGAAAAAGTAATGATTAGATTTTCATGAAAATAATTAATTTAAATGTGAGCCTGAAGACATTTTTATTTTGCCTATATTTAAAAAGAAAACTGTTGAAGGCATCTGTGTACATTGACTGTGGATGGATGTGTTTGGGGGGACTATGTACAGTGTGTATTTCGTCCCGTAAAGGTAGAAGGGAACACACACAGCTATGTTCTTCATCAGCAGTTACTTCGAGAAAATGAAATAATGGGAAGAGGGGTATTTGTAAAGCAAGGAAGGGATGAAAATCTAATAATAAATTTCCCATGACCTAACAATATAAACAGTGTGTGAATTATGCCTTTATAAACAGCCTCCTCACAGGTCCTTTGGTCATCATGATGTCACCAGTTGGTGAGCAATTGTTTGGCTGGTGATTGATTGAAAAGTTGTTTTGAGCAACGGTCAACAGTAATGTTGCAGACTAAATGATCAAGTCTGGCCATAAACTAGTGGTTTCACAACCATATGGGGGTGGATGGGGCATGAAGAAATACCATGGTTCTAGCTTTACATTATTTAAAAAAAAATATTTGAACATTATCTAGGGTTTAGGACTGGTCATTGTTATAGGGAAGGGAGTGTCATGAAAATATGTTACATGTATTCTTTTTAGGGGGAAATTGAAAAATGTTACATAAAATGTGGGGACAGCATCACTGGTATTGCAATGAACAATGCATGCCATTTGACGTCCCACGATGATGATTAAGACGTTTGCTTATTCAAAGTTCATGCACAAAAGTTATCATCACTCCTTTTTTATATGAAAACTTCTGTTCACCCCTCCCCTTGCAATGACTCTCCCACCAATGAAAACACTTTATTCAGCATGATGGGCGGACTTGTTGGGGGTGAATATAAATGATGTTTATATCAACAATAACTCAAATAAAGACCCTTTCATGAGAGATCTTGCAGCTTTTCATTGCAAACATACAACTAGCTCCTAAAGCTGAAGGTGCTGTCACCCATTTCATCCTGTAGCACACATTTATCATCTGTTCTAAGCATGGCTTGTGACATCTTGTAACATACTGAATCACAACATTCTGAACAAAAACTTGATACTTAGAAGTAATTACATGGCAGTTTTCATATCATATTCCATATCAACTGGAGACCTTCAGCGCTTGGGCTGATATGGGGTCGAGGGTTGATACAGGCGTTATATGAAAACTGCCATATAATAACTTCTAAGTATCAAGTTTTTGTTCAGAATGTTGTGATTCAGTATATTACAAGATGATTTTGTTCTAAGCCAAACAAACAAAACAAACACTTGTGAAAGTGTTTTTAATTTTTTGGTCAACATAATGTTCCTACTTTTTACTATGCTTCTCATATAGATAGTGAAGCTTTTCCATTCCAAGACGTCACGGCAGCTTTGCCGTCATCATGGTCATAGCCTGTTCGGTGAAGGTGTTCTTTCAGTTTAGGAAACATGTGGAAATCACTTGGTGCCAGGTTTGGCGAGTATGGAGGGTGAGGAAGCTCTTTGAACCCACATTCTCACATAGCAGCATTTGCAAGTCTAGAGGTGTGAGAAGAGGCATTATCATGAAGTAGTAGAACTCCTGCAGTCAGCATTCCTCGCTGCTTTTCTTTGATAGAATGTCTCAGGTGATGAAGCAAATTAGCATAGTAGGCACAGGTAATCGTCATTTGACTTTCTAAGTAATCAACAAGGATCACACACTTTGCGTCCCAGAATACAGTGACCATAACTTTCTTCACTGACCTTGAATGTCTTTGGTGCCGGAGAAGTGGAATAGTGCCATTCCATGGATTGATGTTTTGACTCGGATCATAGTGATAGACCCATGTTTCATCACCCATTACTAATCTCTTTTTGAATTTGACGAATTCCTCCTTAATTAGCTCTAAATTTTCTCTGGCAATGTCATTTCTTTTTTCCTTAAGATCAGAATTTAGAATCTGGGGCACCCAAAGAGCAGATATGTTATTCATCTGTAAATGTTCATGAATAATAGTTTCAAAGGATCCATGGCTAAGACTTGCAATGAACTACTCAAACAATGTACTACATTGACTAGTTCACTTTGTTAAAGCCTGTAGTTGAAAGTTAGTCAGGCTTAGAATTTTTTTACCAGCCCTCATAATAACCTTTCTATAATATGCCATAGCGCAAACTGTAAAATGTATCTATTTGTATTTGCAAATTAATGCAATACCTTTGGAAGACATTGTCATGGGAAAGCTAGCCAAGCAGATGAGCATACAACGCAATAAGGGATGTAATTCAAATTTTTACCACCACTGATATCGCCCTTTCAAACTGCATTGATAACCTATATCAGCACAGCAGGGTTGTAATACGGGTCAGGTTATTACAACACTGAGATATGATCGTCTCATTGTTGGCTCTATCGCACCTGCAAAATGCCTCATATCATTGACCGATATATGATAAGAAAAATAATTTCCCCAATGATATTCTAGGAAACTCTATCATTCATTGTAATGGTACAGGGAAATCACTCAATAATTAATAATGTATCAATGGACTATCACAATTGCAAACCCATGATGATCAGATCCTGATCTGAAGGTGAGGTGTGGTTTAATGTTGCGTTCAACATTATCATGATTATTGCACTTATATCATGTATATAGCATGTGCATGTATATATGCACATGTGTGTGTATGTGTGTGTGTGGCTGCTTGTATTAGTCCAGACTTATGCTGATTTTAAAGTGCTAGCCGACTGAGATACCATGCGTCAGTGTAACATAACTACCCCATTTAGACACAGTATACTGACTCTGAGCCCACCAGTCCTTGTTTTAGCCCCTTATGCTGAATGCCAGGCGGGGTAACAAGTACCATCGTTTAGTGTGTTTTGGTGTGATGTGGCGTGGGATTGAATCCAAGAATATCACTCTGCGGTCAGACGCTCTATCCACTAGACCACCGAGGTAGTCCTTGCCAGCTAAGGGACGTAACTCCACCCATTCAGTCGGATCACTGTGCACCTGTGTCCCACGACACATCAAGGCTATAGACACAGATAACAGGTTATTCAATATCAAGTTTGCAACTAGAGATAGTAGAGATTTTAGGTGACATAGAAACCAAGCCTGATATTTAAGACCCTTTTTGTGCACATAACAGGCTTCTCCACTCCAGTGTAACTGCATGTGATATCTGCTCCACTGTATAAACACTGCCTCCTGCTTGTGTCTTCTTTGAGAGGCATTTAGAAGTTGAGGTGCTAAGTAAGGGTAAGACACATGGATGAACAACTTCTTTATTACAATTAGGAGCAACGTTTCGGTGTAGGTTCTAACACCGTTATCAAACAAGTGATGTTCAGTTCTCGTCAACCATACTCTGCACATCACTTGCTTAATAACAGTGTCAGAACCTACACTGAAACGTCGCTCCTTATTGTAGTTCATCCATAAATCTTATCCTTACTTAGTACTCCAACTTCTAAATGTCTCTCAAAGAAGTTAGGCAAGACTCGGCTTACAGGTTTAACTGACCCTAGATATATGTAAAGTAGCAAAAAACATATACTGATGAAAATGAGTATCATCAGGGAACATTTAGTTTTAGACACAGTAAAATGATTTATGCTATCATGGGTTCCCAGCCTTGGCTACCAAATACACGTTGGAACAATACGCACAAACACATCTCAACATTTGAATCTGACTTGTGTTGAATTTGTATGCGTGCTATTTCAAATGTACTGACATTATAGCATATTTCCCTATATATTTAATTGTTCCGTTATTCGTTTCCATCATTATACCTGAAAAGCACCATTTTATATTCCTGTGAATGCAAACGTATGTAGTACATGTAGTAACCACAAACAAATTTGTGTATACAGTAAGTGTAATTGACAAGACAAGCTTTACTTACACTGCTCATATCAACAAAAATACCCTGACAAAAATATGTAAAATTTATTTTATATTTTTTTCCTTACCTACTGACCTGGATTTGGCCCAAAAATATCTTACACTAAGATATAGAACCAACTATCACTTGCTTAAGACATGGTAAAATGCACCTGACCATGCCTACGGGAACAAGTTTTAAATAAGTCTGTGTGAAACTATAGAACTACAGTAGAACCTTGATGCGTTGAACTTGGATGTGTCAAATTCCCTGTTGTCTCGAATTCATTTGGGAGTACCAAGTATTCAAATTAAGGCTAAAATTCCCCTGTTGACTCGTACAGTTCAAAATAAATAACGTCCACACACTGACAGTCACCAAACTTTCAACTTTCAACTGACTTCACACACAACTGACTGACCTCACTGAACTTGACGCAATGACATCAAATGCTTTTACTCTGCCAATACCCAATCAAGCTTAGTTTTAACAAGCACACTTTACATCAATGGTGCAAGCTGATTACTGTATACACATTAGCAGTTAGTTACTTAATTGTTCTCACGTGACTGCCGATGACACGTGAATATTGACAAATGAATATAAGGGATTAAGGTTATGTTAGTGAATCTATTATTCAAGATATGACTTAAACAAGGATGCCACTCCAGATGGGGGACAGTAAGATCAATGATACACCTGAGTTGCCATCCCCTTCACAACCAGAAGCCTCGGCACTGAAATTTATGTACGCCTTTAAATCTATTTTTGTGTCTGAACCTGGCAATAACATTTTATAACATGATGTTTGATTTTCGAAAACAATCGTTGTGTCCCACTCGTGGGGAACAAGTTGGAGACAATGAGGTTCAACTGTATGTGTGATAATACTATATTCCTTTGAACTTATATTGAACTCTCCCCTATGACTGATGTTGGAGTCCTCAACAGGAGGTTACACAGGAACTGGATGTTCAGGAAATACAACCTCTCATGACACTGAATCACTCCATGTGTTGACAGCTGTTGTCTTTAGGAAAGGAAAACAAAATTAAAGGATTCACCAGTTCAAAGTTATTCCAGAAATTCCCATTTAACAAACAAGGATAACAGGACAAGTTCCTTGTTTTCTTATGTACTCTCAGTGTTGACCACCTTCAAGTTTTACAAGGACATGGGTGGTCCAGTTGTTTAAGGCCCTGGCATTGGTACGGACCAATTCAGTTTGCTTTGCAGGACTGCAGAATCCTGTGATTGTGAGTTCGAATGCAAGATTCACCCAGATGATTCTTTCTTTGTTTCTTGTTTAATGCCACACTCAGCAATATTCCAGCTATATGTGGTCTGTAAATAATCAAATCTGGACCAGACAATCCAGTGACTGACATCATGAGCATCGATCTATGAAATTGGGATACCATGACATGCATCATCCAAGTCATCGAGTCTGACCACCCGATCCCCTAGTTGCCTCTTACAACAAGCATGGGTTGCTGAAGACCTATTCTAGCCTGGATCTTCACGGGTAGATCTTTATAATGCTGTACACTGTGTGTAATGGTAGCAAGAACTAAGATCAGATTTTAATGAGATGGAACTTAGTTTTTTGCTATTGATTGATGCCAAGTAGTACGTATAATAGGTGATAGAATTGAAATACTGTTGAAAGTAGTGTTGAACATTGCTGAACCCCGCAGAACACTCCCTCAACAATATGGACATTGCCGTGTATTTGCATAATATTCCAGGTATGTGGTATGGCTTGTCTCCCTTCACCACACTCAGGTATATGAATCTGTCTGGGTACAGTGCTGTTGCCCTAATTGTCCCACCATTAATTGTCGCTGAGCTACCTCCTTCCCAGAGTTCGTGTAAGCTGTCAAGGAGGTTTTGCTTCTGTAGAGGAGCTTTTCAGTGTTGGAGGAATACTTGCCCTTGGACCCGTGAAGATCTGGCCTGCATCATTGTGTAGTTAAAACACTCGTCTACGTACAACAAATTGTCAGAGAACTAAAAAAAAACATTGTCCAAAATCACCAAATGAGGTTCTTTTATTTTTTAAGCCACTGTCAATATGAGGCCAGTTATCAAAACAATCTTGACTTTATAAGTATATATTTCTTTATTTCGTTAGCTCACAAATCTTTGAATAAACTTCATTCTTATGTACCAAGTGACCTTTTTTAGAAACATTAGAATTGATCTTCAGCAACCCATGCTTGTTGTAAGAGGCGACAAACAGGATTGGTTGGTCAGGCTTATTGACTTGGTAAAATGAGTCTCACATCGCGAAGTGCATCAAATCACGTGAGCTCCTTGATTAAAATCATGAAAAGGTGTGGTAAATATCTGTTGACAACGAGTTGGAGGTGCACATGCTTTGCAAATTCTGCAATCGACCGAATTCAGCACGAAAGTTTACGAACCGGATTTCGATTTTTTGTGCCCGATTTTGATTGGACTATGCATAGACTCGTTAGCCCAGCCAAAATGTAACTCCATAATACAAGCCTAGTTCAGCAAGGGTGGAAACTGGACTTTTATAGTCAGTTAACTCTCTTGCTTCGGGAAGATGGGACGGGATGTCTGTGTTTTCACTGTGTATCAGGAAGTTCAATGAAAAAAATACATTTTATTAAATGTCTGATGTGCAGCAATCTTTTTGTTAAAAATGTCTAAAAGGGTATTTAGAGCCCAGACATATTCTGGACTCTTCACTGGGTATGAATACTTTTCCTTTTAATTATAAGTATCATCACCTAATTTTAAAATGCAGAACTTGTCATGGCAACACGAATATCCCATCCATGGTTTATTGCATTGACTAATACTTATCAGATAAAAGATTATTTAGCGGAATTTTCAGTGAAACAGTAAATTACGATAACTTTCCCTTTGTGCAGTGTGGATAAACATGGCTGGTTTGAGATAAGCAGGTATTACTGAGTATTTGAATCCTGCAAATTTACAAATATCAAACCTTGGCTTCTTCAGCAGTGCAAAACACCTCTCTCAATCGTTGACACCGTAGCTTACATGCCCAAGATTTTAAGGATACTTTCTGAAAGTGTTTTAGTGTTAAACTTCTGTTTGTTGATTATTTCAGCTCTGCTACTGATACAACAACCAACAAGCAGGTGGCCATCAAGAAGCTAGCTCGGCCATTCCAAACAGAGACTCATGCTAAACGTGCTTACAGGGAAATACGGATGCTGAGGCACTTTCATCATGAAAACGTAAGAGTAACAATAAGACTTCCTTTCATCTAAGTAGAGCGTCCGCCCGGAGAGCGGAAGGTCCAGGGTGCGATCCCGGGCCGCGTCATACAAAAAGACGTTAAAAGATTGTACTTGTTGTTACCCTGTCTGGCGCTCGGCATTAAGGGGCTAAAACAAGGACTGGTCGGCTCGGAGTCAGTATACTGTGTCTGAGTGGGGTATTCATGTTAAACTGCGGCATGGTATCTCAGTGAGCTAGCACTATAAATCGGCATCAGTCCGGACTAGTACAAGCAGCCACACACACACATACACGTGCATGCACGTCGCTATATAAGTGTAATAATCTTGGACGCGACGTTAAACCCAATTTCACCTCACCTCCTTTCATCTAATGATCAGTTAGGCCAGCAGCATTTTCTCCTATTTCTTTTGGCCTCTAAACGTGTTAGTTTTTTCAAATTTATTCAGATATGCATGCTGTTTGATTGAAAATATTCTCTTCTGTTGTTTGTATTTTTGTTTAGACTCTTATTTCTAGGTTTTTCTTTGGTTATCGGCCCTGACAACTTTAATGTGGTCCAATGTATATTTGTACATGGACCAAGAAACTGTAAATCAAGAACAGAGTGTCCACACCAGATTGACGGATAAGAGTTAAGGGACAGTGAATATTCTTGGGGGCCTTGGGATTTTAGTTGGAGAATATGTTTTCAGTTACTCCTTTAACACGTTGAAGACATTCTTTTTGTCTGAAAATAGGTGCCAAACAATGTTTCAAATGAGCACAACAGATTTATTTCAAGATACAGCATGTTGAGTTAGGGCTTGATTTAGCTGTATGAAACATCGCCTATTATTGAAAAATGCAAGCTAATAGTTATGTCTACATGTACCGAGTGTATAGGAAAATGTTTCAAATTTGAGTTTAAAACTTACATGCCCACATTACATCAATCTTTGGACACACTCAATACCTCTAAGCTTTATTTATGATAATATGTTAATACTCCCTGTGTTATATGTAATCTGTCATGCTTTCTGTCAAACAATAGGTAATTCAGGATTATGTGCACATATTTCAACTTTGATAAATATATGGGACCAGGGTGCAACCTGGTTTTGTCTGGTCACTCAATATTTATTTTGTGAACTTGTTTTTTCTGTATATTTTGAAACAAATTCATTATTTTTTAACGATTCGCATCCACCCCCACCTTACCCCAGCAGAACAATCAATACTCTATTCGACGTAATAAGCGCCCCGGTCTAATAAGCGCCCACGGCAACATTTGCCAATATATTGGCTAGTGAACAATCCAAATTAGTACCCCTTCCGATTGATCAATGTACACAACACTTATTTATTCGCGTATAATATGCACTTGTGTGTTATATGCACCCTTAATTATGGGCAATTAAATTCTGGAAAAATATGTCTGTCGTATATAAACTTTTCAGGCTGTCAGCATAAACCATGAAATTTATCTTTCAACTTGGATTTTTTCACCAAAATAATATTCTACTAAGAGCCCCCTATTTAGATTTTTGAGAGCGCCCTGGGCGCTAATTACATTAAATACGGTACATGCAATATTATTTGTCTGAAAAAGTAATATTCACAGTGTCATAAAACGATTTGGAGTAAGAAACATAATAATATAAATGATGTGTATGGCACATATCTAGTACTTGGGGCTTGGGTGTGGAAATACAGACCCATGTACATTAGCCTGCTTGACAAAATTTAAGCCATGTTGGCCGTTGTCGCCCCCAAATAATATTAAGTTAAAATATTATTGAAAGAGACCATTGACTTATCTGTGGGGACATAGACATTCATGTAATTGTTATGAAATCAAATGTAAATTATGTGAGTTGCCAGAAGTTATCTGAAACCATCCCTGTGCATGGAAGTGGCTGGGTGTCGTCTCCGGACACCTGTTGTTCTCAACTGCTGAAGGTGTTGACTCCATGTTTCAGATAATATGTCTGCAGGATTTGTTCACTCCAGACCAGACGTACGACAGGTTCGGTGATGTGTAAGTATAACAAATGCAACAGGCATTTATGAACAAGGTTTAGCTTTGTTTATTTGGCTGTAATATTCTGAATGCCACAAGAAATAATTTATTCATTTAGATGAGCCATGTTCAATAAAACAAAGACTCAACTTTTAATATCTCCCTTTGGAAATTGACAAGCAAAAACTAAAGTCATGTTATTACAACCAAACAGGAGCTGTCATAAAGATATGTTTGTTTGTTTGTTTGTTTCATGTTTAACGACGCACTCAGTGATATTGTGGGAGCTATATGGCGGCAGTCTGTAAATGGTCAAGTTGTGACCAGACAAGCCAATGATTGATATCATGCGGGTCAATCTTCACAATAGTATATCATGACATGCATCAGCCAAGTCAGCAAGTCTGACCACCCAATCCTGTTAGTCCCACAACATGGGTTGCTAAATCTTCCTCACAGGGTGTCACAGAGATGTATACAAATGTCCTCTCCGTGCAGGGTGCTCTGTTATGTCTTTATGTACACTCAGTGTAGTGGTCTATGGGAGATAACTTAGGGAGTAAGAAAGGGGGGAGTTCCAACATGTCCGCCTGCATGTATGCCATGTGCTCTGTGTGAATTAAAACCCTTATTCTACATTTCCTGAATCCATTATACAACATGCTCCTGAATTATTGGATCAGTCGGTCAGGTTAAGTAACTTATTCAACTGTGTGTCATTGATGTGTAGATTGTTGCTCATAATATCAATCACTGGAATGGTGGGTCCAGACTCGTGATGTCAACAGGCAGCCGTCATATAGCTGGAATATTGCTGAATATTATATTGCAAAAAAAGAAATAAACAAATCCTACATGATGAATTATTATTCATGTTTAATGCACTGGTAGCTGTTACCCTGCACCATTGTTTTGCCTGTAGATACCTGGTGTTGCCTTATATGGACACAGACCTGCATGAGATCCTCAAGCTGCAGGCTCTGTCTAATGACCACATACAGTTCATGCTGTACCAGATTCTCAGGGGACTCAAGGTGAGTTACTCTCAACACATCTCTGTATGGTGCTCTGCAGAGTTATGTCCCTTAGTCATGCCAGGATCTGCCGATCATAGATGAGTATGTTAGATTCACCCTGATTATGATCCATGTTCTGTTGGTTAAGTACCCATGTTGTGGGTTTTACTGAAGTGGAAAATGTCTATGACCTGTGTCATGTTGGGCTTTTCTCCCACAACAAATAGACATGATGTCATCTCAATGAAATACTGTACAAAGTGGTATTCTCACCTACTGACTTACAGTAATTCTTCTTCATATAAACACATTTTGTAACTTTCCTAACTTTTTTAAACATGTTTTTAAAATATGCCAATACGGTGGGCCAAAAAGGGCCCTTATCATACCTAATTCACTGTGAACATCAACCTGATGTGCATCAGGTGTCAAAGGAACTGACAGACAAGCTGCTGCCACCATTACAGCCTTGACCCAAGGGGGCTTAACGGCTTCATATGACCATGGTGTTGTCATATTTACCTCCCCTATATTCATGGACATCCTTGAAAATCCATATCTCCCTTTTACAGTCATGCCCCGCTTATACGGACTTCAGATATCCAGAAACCTCGGTTCCCAGACAATTTTCATTCAAAACGAAATAATTACTATATAAATTTACCCGTATATCAGGAAATTCAGTTTCCGGAACCGGACGGTCATTTTCATACACAAAACACTGAAATGCACACAAAATTGTCTCACTTATCCGGACAATACACTTCCGCGGATGGTAATCCTTCCGCTGGTGGTAATCCTTTGATTCGTGAGAAGTCAATTAACCAAGTGACACTGAGTTACGTTTGAGACGAGCTTGTTTATTGTACATGTAATCCCCTTTGATAAATATGGCGTCTGTGGAGGTCAGAGGTCAAAGTTGGGTAAGTATGGCCTGTCAACTCACAAGGAGGCTCGTGCTTGTATAGAGACCTTGATTATCTATTACGAGAACACAGGCGATCTGGAAAATTTGGAATTATTGTTTAAAATTCAAACCTCAAAATGTGGTAAAGTTCCATGACAGACTTTTTGAAATGTGTATGAATAAAGATTGAGTGGATGTATCTGTTTGCTCTGTCATCTGTGATGAGTTGCATAATGGAAGGGAAGTAACTCTTCCAGTAAGAAGCTGGTTTCAGTTATACGGAAATTCATTTATATGGACGAATTGTGAAATGACGCAAGTGTCCGTATAAACGAGGCACGACTGTATTATGATAAACACCCAGCACCCATTCATCACCATAGCTTTGTTTGGGAAATGACATCACAATCGTCATCTCTCTTATCACCAAATCTCGCTCCTCAACTTGAAATCAATGCACTATCAAAATAAGTCTACTCAATATGAATCCAGGATTGATCTAATTTCAAAATTGCATCCTCATAATGGTGATCCCTTGATACATTTACTTGAATCAAAAGACTGTCATAAATGTTTTGGCTAGAAAAAATGTTTTTCTGAGAAATAAGAGGTGGAGAATCTATGGTATACATTGACAGTAGTATTTCAGTAGAGCACTATTAGTATTGCCATTTGTTTCAATCATTAAGAAGGGTAATTAGACTGGTTAAGGTATATATTGTTATATAATGGAGTTATATTAATAATACACTGGAAAATTGATGATAATTAATAAATTGATGAAAAGGTTTCTGATTCCCAACTATTTCATGTATTCTGTTGCTATCATCAGTTCCTTGGCTTTCTTTGTAACATTGTGGGCTTTTTCTTATTTTTGCAGTACATTCACTCGGCTGGCATCATTCACAGAGTAAGTGGACAGTTTGCTAATTTAAGAAAGAAACATCGAGTGGGATGTGATTATCATACAATAAAACACTGCAGGGAGAATAAACAATATTATGTACAGCCTCTTTAGGGATGTTGCTAAAATGTACAAGCTTTAAAAATATTTACCTGTATTTAAATAATGATAACTCCCTGAATAGAATCCGACCTTGGCAATATCGGACAAGTCCATTTTATAAACAGGTTGGTTTAATTTGGTCTTTTCCTGCATGTACCCGGTACTCACAATTTTCATGTTGAATGTCTGTACCTTTTCTCCCAATACCGATTGTCATATTTCTCCCACTTTTGGGTGCGATCTTTCGGCTTTTGTGTTTATCTGTGTTGCCCAGCTACATCTATGGGGAAAAACTCACTAGATACTTCCCTCTCAATAATAACATTGATCAATTTACGACGTCATGAAGTTGCGAGTGCATGTTCGAATCTCCAGAAATGATGTCATGATAGAACAATGTTTTATTGTGAAATAAGCCACGCTTCATTCTTAATTGTTCTTTGCGATTTATCACTTAACTATTAAATATTGTCTTCTAAGCCTCTAATAGGAAGTACAAAGTCATTATACTGTAAATCACACATAGTAATACCAATTCTAGGAAGGAATTTTCTATTTCAGTCAGTGTAAATCCATGGGAATTCTGGACAGAATATATTTTCCCTCTTTTTAAAAAAAATATTTCGAGATAAAGTCGCTACAAATATATATTTAACCTTGAAGCAAAGAGAAATCTTATTTCCTTGCACTAAAAATCCTCATGGTAACCGACAAGTTGACTTCGTTTAAAAAATATACTCATATGAATATCGCCAATGTTTTGTTTAACAACAAACATTGATAAGGTACTTTATTTGCCGGTCCACAGGGACCGTCAGTTACATGAATTACTGGTCCAAGCCTAATTTTACCTGTAAAAACTGGTAATTACCGGTAAACGGGAACACTGTCACGATCACGTGTTTCGGGAAGACAAAGTCAATATTTGACATTCTGGTAGCCACGTGCTTGTTTTTCACTGGTTGTACTATAATATCACCTCAGCTGGGTATGATGGGTTTTTTTAAATACCGCCTTTTATATCAACATGATTAGTGACATCATTTCACTAGAAAGTAACAGGCCAAATGAGCAGTTGGATCCCTTCACAAGGTACTCCCTTGTTCAAACATAGGGTTACATCTTGATATTGTAGCGAGTTGTTGTAATACTATCATTCTGTTTCAGGATCTGAAACCCAACAACATAGGCGTAAATCAAAACTCGGACATTAAGGTGAGACTTAGCCATGAGAGGTCTGTTGTCATTGTTTATGTACAAACTTTCAATTTTTTTTAGTGCATACCCTGAACTATACTAGTGAGATATTTAAATGAGATGTCACAAGAATTGCTACCTCGTTACTTTCATTTGTTGTGAGTGATAATTCCCTTTCATTTATATGGAAACATATTTTGGTAAAATCATTTTTCCAAATATAGAGTCTATGGTCATGATGGTGTATTTTTGTGTTCTATAGATTTTAGATTTTGGGTTAGCTCGGTCAAGCGCAGAGGAGATGACGGGTTATGTTGTTTGCCGTTGGTACCGAGCCCCAGAAATCATGCTCAACTGGATGCACTACAATCAGAAAGGTATTTAATACATAGACATATATATTGTACATATTGCCATACAGGCAGACAGACCCAAAACTAAAACATGATATTGTTTCACAGTCTGTGCCAAACACTTTTAATTCTACCTGCCCAAAATTGTATTTGGCATAAATTTTGAAGTATATTTTAGTGTATGCTGATCCTACTTATAAGATGTCTTTATATATTTCCCCATATCTAAAATCACCCTGTGTGGAATCAAGGTTTGAATAGGCGTTCAGCAACCTCTACAGGTTGTAAGTGGCCACCGAACCGATCAGGTGGCCAGCCTCTGTGACTTTTGTTGATTACGTGTCATCGTACCCCAATGATGAGGATTGTTGCTCACGATATCGATCACTGGAGTGTCTAGGCCAGACATGATTATTTACTGGCATCCATCATATGGCTGAATTAATGCTGAGTGTGGTGTAAATCCACAAACAAAGAAACTATATCTAACCTCGCTGTATGAATAATGTAAGATGACACACTAACCTCTTACTAAGTTTATAACCATTGTATAAGAGATATTTCTGCCATTATTTAGAGGTTATTATATGCAGTTTTCATATCATACCCGATGTCAGCCCCCCGAGAGCCCCATATCATCCTGAGACCCCTATATCATCCTGAGACCCCCATATCATCTCGAGACCCCCATATCAGCCTGAGAACCCCATATCAACCCGAGACCCCTATATCAGTCTGAGACCCCCATATGAGCCTGAGACCCCCATATTAGCCTGAGACCCCCATATTAGCTCGAGACCCCCATATCAGCCTGAGACCCCCATATCAGCCCCAGACCCCAGAGACCCCCATATCAGCCTGAGACCCCTATATCAGCCCGAGACCCCCATATCAACCCTATATAAACCACAACATAAAACTGTAATATGTATCTATTTGCAAGTGATTGCAAAATATTTTCACCTTGTTTGGAAGTCATTGTCATGGGAAAGCTAGCTGAGCAGACGGGGAAATGTAACTCTAATTTCTTACCACTCAGGATGATATCGATCGCTCATTCAAAATACATATCACAAGCCATATCAGCCCAGTAGGGGGTGTGATACGGGGGTGGTTATTACACCCCCTGTGTGTGACATGACTGTCCATGTTGGCTCTAAGGCCCATGCAAAATGCATCATGTCATTGATAGGTATATGATAAATGGTATTATTTATAACCCAACAACCATAACAATGGCTTTTTTGTTTCTTCTGTTGACAGTGGACATCTGGTCCGTTGGCTGCATCCTGGCCGAGATGATCACCAGGAGACCCCTGTTCAAGGGCTCAGACCGTATCCTTGCCTCCGTGTAGGATGTTGTCGTGACCAGGCAATGTTATTTAGTTCTCCAAGTTGAAAGTCTTACAGCCACACTAATAGACCTGAAAAGAGGTCACAAGTAGACATGCACGGTAGGAATGCATTAATCAGGGATGAAGGGGACAGGTACAATAATACATGTGCTAATGACATAGTCACAAGCAAGCAGAATGCACTATTCACAAGGTCACAAACAGACAGACATACTATGAATGAACTATTGACAAGGTCACAAGCAGACAGGGACACTATGAATGAACTATTCACAAGGTCACAAGCAGACAGGCACACTATGAATGAACTATTCACTAGGTCACAAGCAGACAGGCACACTATGTATGAACTATTCACAAGGTCACAAGCAGACAGGCACACTATGAATGAACTATTCACAAGGTCACAAACAGACTATGAATTAACTATTCACTAGGTCACAAGCAGACAGGCATACTATGAATGAACTATTCATATTTAGACTGGGACACAAGAGAAGAATAATTCAGTGTCAGACACTGATTTCAGCACAGATTGTATTGTGGAACCTTGTTTGTCTCCGTGACGTCTGTCTCAGATATTGACCAGTTGAACAGGATACTGCAGCTGACCGGGACACCCAGTGAAGAGTTTATTGCGAAGATGGTCAGCGGGGATGTAAGTATCGGAGACTTCTAGTCCCCAATGTGCCCAGCGTGTTGTGAGAGCTCACTACAAGTGTTGGTTAAGATGGGTGATGGAGACTAGAACTGGGGAAGAGACAGTGTGGCATTGCACCACAAAGTCAGGCCAATTCTTTGTCTTGTTGCATGGATGATTCACTTCCCTTAAATCTCAATGTTTTTATTGAAAATTAGGGGGCTGTTAAACAACTTTCAATGTTAGATTTTGTCATAACCTATATCAAAGAGATCAAGAAACTGTAAATCAACACTGCCCAGAAAATCCATGCAAACAAGACAACCATGTTGTCGCTAATAAATGAAAAACCTTGTACTGGTTTTTGTGCTAGGATTCTCTTCCTTATCTTTTATTATCTGTCACATATAGGTAGGTACTGACCTAACCTTGGACAAAAAACCATTAGGGAATTCCATGTGATTTTTTGTTTTGTTTATGTTTTGTGAATGCTGCACTCAGCTATATTCCAGCTGCATGACGCCAGCCTGTAAATAATCAAGTCTGGGACAGACAATCCAGTGATTGATATTATGAGCAACGCCCCATGCCATCGTGGTACAATGACATGCTATCAACTAAGTCTTTGAACCCGACTACTCGATCCATTTAGTCACCTTGTATGACTTCCATATGACATTATCTCTGTTTATCTTCCTCCAGGCACGAAGATTCATACGGTCACAACCAAAGTCAAAAAGGAAGAATTTTTCAGAATATTTCCACAATGCTGATCCTCATGGTAAATACATTGAAACCTTTTCCGTTCATGCAATGTAGCTCACAGTTATTGTGTTGACAACACCACCTGAAACTGTAATCTCCATCTACAGGTAGTCATGTTTTAATATCATTTTTCAGCTGTTGACCTTCTGGAAAAGACCCTTGACCTTGATCCAGATTCCCGTATATCCATAGAGCAGGCACTGGCACACCCCTACCTCCGTCAGTTTTATGACCCCGAGGACGAACCTCTCTCCCCACCCTTTGACAGTTCATTTGAAGATCTGAAGCACGATTGTGAAGGATGGCGAAGTAAGTGAAGTTTCTCTTTTCCAAATGCCTTTATATCAGTGTGATTAATTATTACAGCTAAAAACCTGCTGTTGTACAAAGCGACCTTAGCGCTAAGGTGATCGTAACTCCCATACCTTAACATAGACTTACAACAGTCATAGCGCTAAGGTTGTTTTGTACCACGGCATCCAGGTTATCATAGGGTTGTTTACATAATTCCATGATCTCCTGACTAAAACCACTTTCGTCATGTCTGGTGTAGGTGTTACGTACTAACTACATCTTCTTGTGATGTAGCATCAGCTCGTTGCTGCATTTGCTCTTCATCATTCATTGCTACCAACAAGTTTAACTTTTTTTCATGTTTTCATCTTCAGTTTTGTTCCATGGTATTTTACTGTTTTGCAGGGTGTGTGTATGATGAGATCTGCAAGTTTAGTCACTGAAGTCTATGGCAAACATATCAGGAGCGTGTGTTTGTTGACATCCTACATCAATCAACTGGTGCTCTTTCTACCCACAAGGTCATACCACAGCAGATACCTGTGCAGACTCGACATATCACAGAGGAGGAGTGGTCTCCATTGTGGTCAGTGCAGGAATATATACTACAGGAAGGCCACAATACAAAGAACACCCCACACCAAGGACTCAAGGCCATGAAATAGTGGCAGCTAAAACACACCCCAGGCAGGCCACTGAAGCAAGGTCATACCACTGGGAGGTCACTGCAGCAAGGTCATACCACTGGGAGGTCACTGCAGCAAGGTCATACCACAGTGGAGGTCACTGCAGCAAGGTCATACCACAGTGGAGGTCACTGCAGCAAGGTCATGTCATACCACAATGGAGGTCACTGCAGCAAGGTCATGTCATACCACAATGGAGGTCACTGCAGCAAGGTCATACCACAGTGGAGGTCACTGCAGGAAGGTCATACCACAGTGGAGGTCACTGCAGCAAGGTCATGTCATACCACAATGGAGGTCACTGCAGCAAGGTCATACCACAGTGGAGGTCACTGCAGCAAGGTCATACCACAGTGGAGGTCACTGCAGCAAGGTCATACCACAGTGGAGGTCACTGCATCAAGGTCATACCACAATGGAGGCCACTGCAGCAAGGTTATACCACAGTGGAGGTCACTGCAGCAAGGTCATACCACAGTGGAGGTCACTGCAGCAAGGTCATACCACAGTGGAGGTCACTGCATCAAGGTCATACCACAGTGGAGGTCACTGCAGCAAGGTCATGTCATACCACAATGGAGGTCACTGCAGCAAGGTCATACCACAGTGGAGGTCACTGCAGCAAGGTCATACCACAGTGGAGGTCACTGCAGGGAGGTCATACCACAGTGGAGGTCACTGCAGCAAGGTCATGTCATACCACAGTGGAGGTCACTGCAGCAAGGTCATACCACAATGGAGGTCACTGCAGCAAGGTCATACCACAGTGGAGGTCACTGCAGCAAGGTCATGTTATTCCACAGTGGAGGTTAACAGTAGTTCTCAGATTATGAAGATTCCCTTGCATAATGACAAAAGCATATACTAAGTATTATTGTGAAGCATGTTAAGATATGTTATCATTGTTTAGGAACTGCTGATGCATGTAGTTAGTTCACAAGGACTGAATCCAGATGCACATGAATTAGTTACCAAAGACTGCTGTACATAGAGACCTTGCAGCTTTGCAGCACAAAATGTGTGTTTGGAATTGTTCGATCTATTAGCTATCAGCCAAGACTTAATTTTCCTTTTGAAACCTTTTTTTTTTAAAAGCTGCTTCCATTTGAACTCCCACATTTGTCATTACAATTAAACGGTTGGTTGTCTAAGGTGTATATAATAATTATGATAATTATTGCAATATCAGCATTATTTATTTCAATGGAATATATAGATATATGATATATCAGTTGAATTTGGCTCCAGTACAAAAGGAATATAAGGTCTTTGAAGGGCATTTAGAAGTGATTAACATAAGGAAGAGAATATATGGATGTCAACTTCTTTATTATGAGGAACACAACGTTTGGAGTATATGCTTACTCCTTCATCAGGTGAATGAATGCCATGAGGCAGAGAGCATATATATATGTACATGTAAGGACAACAACATTAATAAGATAACAAAAGGTGAAAAATAACAAAGGGTAGAAGCTAACAAAGGAAGCCAACAGATGATTGGCGCTACTAGGTGATTAGCACTAGACAATGGAAGCCAACACGTAAGTTATCATAGCTAAGTAATTACATGTACATATATATGCTCTCTGACATCAAGTTGACATCCATATATTCTCTTTGTTAAAAGGAATATACTTGATAACTCATCCATGCATAACTCACTTATGGAGCATTACAGAAACTGTTGGCACAATGTTTGATATGTAAAATAAGCAAGTCTGTGATTATGATAGAATTATCTGGATCTGGGTGAATAGATCACACTTAGCAATCAGTTCTAGCCAATATAGTGCGTTGTTTGATTTGGCCCAGGTGATGTGAACAAACCATCACACAGTCTAGTTGTACACTATCAGAAGCCTTAGGGGTATATCTCTGTGTTTTGTGTGTAATAAAACATGGACAGAGAATTATCAGGGTATTTCTATCTTAAAGTTGTTCCTGGGCCTTGTGAAACACAATGTTGCACATCCAATCCACTGCTCATCAAATGGCATCTTCTTTAAATGCTAATGAGAAAGAAAATATGTTGCTCAATCCAAAATGACCTTCTTAAAGCTTCGACTGAGCCAACATTTCTGGCTTTAGGGAAAGTTCCAGCACATGTATCAGCTAAAATTAGATTCAATGGAACAAATCTCAAAAAGTGTCTGTCTTTTCATCCCGAAAACAAAAACTAACACTTACAGTAGGGAAAAAAATGTCTCTGTGTGGAATCTGGGAATTCTATGTGCGCATAGTTTTAGCAAGATGTCAATGAGTCCAGCCTTAATTTTGACACTTTGTGTATAATGTGATCTATAAATGTTTGTTAGAAATGTAAGCTTAAAGTCTTTGTCACAATATTCCAGACACACAGATAAAAAAAAAGAAATTGTCAGAGCAATTCTTGACTTGCACATTCAATGGGAGTGGTTGGATTTGGAATATTTGGTTGAAGCCTGGCACTATCATGTCCAGTGGAACATGAACACTTCAAGGCAGCAGAAATACCCTGGCTATGCCTATATGGTAATCAACAGAGTGAGTGAATATATCAACCTTACCCACACAATATTCATCTATGTCGTATGATTCATCATTTGCATAACCATGGCATGTATATATATATATATATATATGTATGTGACGTTCGTTGCTGTTTTGCTCACATAGTTGCTGTATAGTTTGGTGTGTGTTTTTTTCATAAATTGTTTATGTCATATCTGTATTTTTATCACAGTTTACTATTTATACTCTTGTATACACAGTTAATGAGGTTATGTAGCTGTTATGATATATGGAACATGTTAAGTGGTGCGACAAGTCCTCAGGAGTTTGGGTGTCTGTTGTACACTTGTGACACCAGTCCAAAAACATTTTTTATCATACCTTTATCAATATTCAAACTGCCAGTGATTTCAAGGGATGAAGGTGACCTAGATTCAAAGCCTCTTTACCGAACAGCGTGGAGTCCACAAACATTTCTCTGGATTTGGAGGGGTAGAGCTGCAAGGTCCCTTAAAGACATGGATTCTCTGCAATCACATGAGCCCTTGACCAAAGGGGCTCATTCTATGGGCCCCAGGAGCCCTTGAACACAGGGACTCACTGCATGGCCAGAAGCCCTTGAACACAGTGACTCACTGCATGGCCAGAAGCTGTAGCTTGAACAAAGGGACTCACTGCATGGTCAGAAGCCCTTGAACACAGTGACTCACTGCATGGCCAGAAGCTCTAGCTTGAACAAAGGGACTCACTGCATGGCCAGAAGCTCTAGCTTGAACAAAGGGACTAACTGCATGCATGGCCAGAAGCCCTTGAACATAGTGACTCACTGGATGGCATGTGGCACAGAAGCCCTTGAACACAGTGACTCACTGCATGGCCGGCTGCCTTGAACATAGTGACTCACTGCATGGCTGGGTGCCTGGAACACAGTGACTCACTGCATGGCCAGAAGCCCTTGAACACAGTGACTCACTGCATGGCCGGTAGCCTTGAACACAGTCACTCACTGCATGGCCAGAAGCCCTTGAACACAGTCACTCACTGGATGGCCAGAAGCCCTTGAACACAGTGACTCACTGGATGGCCAGAAGCCCTTGAACACAGTGACTCACTGCATGGCTAGAAGCCCTTGAACACAGTGACTCACTGCATGGCCAGAAGTCCTTGAACACAGTGACTCACTGCATGGCCAGAAGCCCTTGAAAACAGTGACTCACTGGATGGCCAGAAGCCCTTGAACACAGTGACTCACTGCATGGCCAGAAGCCCTTGAACACAGGGAATCACTGGATGGCCAGAAGCCCTTGAACACAGTGACTCACTGCATGGCAAGAAGCCCTTGAACACAGTGACTCACTGCATGGCCAGATGTCCTTGAACACAGTGACTCACTGGATGGCCAGAAGCCCTTGAACACGGTGACTCACTGGATGGCAAGAAGCCCTTGAACACAGTGACTCACTGCATGGCCAGATGTCCTTGAACACAGGGACTCACTGGATGGCCAGAAGCTCTTGAACACAGTGACTCACTGGATGGCAAGAAGCCCTTGAACACAGTGACTCACTGGAAGGCCAGAAGCCCTTGAACACAGTGACTCACTGGATGGCCAGAAGCTCTTGAACACAGTGACTCACTGCATGGCCAGAAGCCCTTGAACACGGTGACTCACTGGATGGCAAGAAGCCCTTGAACACAGTGACTCACTGGAAGGCCAGAAGCCCTTGAACACAGTGACTCACTGGATGGCCAGAAGCCCTTGAACACAGTGACTCACTGCATGGCCAGAAGCCTTTGAACACAGTGACTCACTGCATGGCCAGATGTCCTTGAACACAGCGACTCACTGGATGGCCAGAAGCTCTTGAACACAGTGACTCACTGGATGGCCAGAAGCCCTTGAACACAGTGACTCACTGGATGGCAAGAAGCCCTTGAACACAGTGACTCACTGGATTGCCAGAAGCCCTTGAACACAGTGACTCACTGCATGGCCAGATGTCCTTGAACACAGTGACTCACTGGATGGCCAGAAGCCCTTGAACACAGTGACTCACTGGATGGCAAGAAGCCCTTGAACACAGTGACTCACTGGATGGCCAGAAGCCCTTGAACACAGTGACTCACTGCATGGCCAGAAGCCCTTGAACACAGGGACTCACTGCATTGCCAGAAGCCCTTGAACACAGTGACTCACTGGATGGCCAGAAGCTCTTGAACACAGTGACTCACTGGATGGCCAGAAGCCCTTGAACACAGTGACTCACTGGATGGCAAGAAGCCCTTGAACACAGTGACTCACTGGATGGCCAGAAGCCCTTGAACACAGGGACTCACTGCATGGCCGGGTGCCTTGAACACAGGGACTCACTGCATGGCCGGGTGCCTTGAACACAGGGACTCACTGCATGGCCGGGTGCCTTGAACACAGGGACTCACTGCATGGCCAGAAGCCCTTGAACACAGCGACTCACTGGATGGCCAGAAGCCCTTGAACACAGGGACTCACTGCATTGCCAGAAGCCCTTGAACACAGGGACTCACTGGATGGCCAGAAGTCCTTGAACAAAGTGACTCACTACATGGCCAGAAACCCTTGAACACAGTGACTCACTGGATGGCCAGAAGCCCTTGAACAAAGTGACTCACTGCATGGCCGGGTGCCTTGAACATAGTGACTCACTGGATGGCCAGAAGCTCTTGAACACAGTGACTCACTGGATGGCAAGAAGCCCTTGAACACAGTGACTCACTGGATGGCAAGAAGCCCTTGAACACAGTGACTCACTGGATGGCCAGAAGCCCTTGAACAAAGTGACTCACTGCATGGCCGGGTGCCTTGAACATAGTGACTCACTGCATGGCCAGAAGCCCTTGAACATAGTGACTCACTGGATGGCCAGAAGCCCTTGAACATAGTGACTCACTGGATGGCCAGAAGCCCTTGAACACAGGGAATCACTGGATGGCCAGAAGTCCTTGAACAAAGTGACTCACTACATTGCCAGAAGCCCTTGAACATAGTGACTCACTGGATGGCCAGAAGCCCTAGAACACAGGACCTTGGTGACTCACTGGGCCACTGCATTTTTCATGGATAGAATGTGATAGAACAATTCGATGGGAGAACGGGATATTTTCTATTGATGACTTTGTATAATGCTATGAATCATTCAAGTTCATCATCAGAGAGTAAACTTGTATCATTGTTTGGTCAAAGGTTTGTTCACATCAAGTGTTCAGACTTATACACCACGAATCATCCAGCCATACAATCAGCTTCTTGTACTCAGAGGGGGCACGGGTGGCCCAGTCGTCTAAGGCGCCGCGATTTGCTGTGCAGAGTTGCGTCCCTTGGGCACGCCCGAAACCTATGATTGTGGGTTCGAATCCCGGTTAGCCCCTATTATGTTTCTAGGTTTGTCAGCACCATACCCATGCTCGTGGGTTTCACTGATGTGGTAAACGTCCGAGACCTGCATCACTTCGGGCTTTCCTCCCTCATTAAACTGACACGCCGCGATATAAATGGAACACTGTTAAAAGCGGCGTTAAACCCAACTCACTCACTCACTCTTGTACTCAGACAAAAATCAAAAGGATCAAAGGATGCCACACCAACAAGTGTGTCCTGACTGCAATGGCAAGGGAAGTAACTCTTTCATTTATCAAAGAATCACTCCAAGCATCCTGTTCCTTTCATACCTTCACAGACATAAACCCAAGTCACCACTGGTAAAAAGAGCAGTTTAAAAACAGTAATTTGTCAGAAATATTAGTTTTATTTTCATTTCAACCTAACAAATGTAAAATGTAAATGCGTCAACAATGTGATCAAATATCAGGCCTAACCTGTCATTAAATTTCCTTTGGTGATTAAGTTTT